CTCTTCGATAGATTAAGAACATTACGTTATATATATATATATATATATATATATATATATATATATATATATTTATATATATGTTCGATATAATAAAATAGAGTTATTAAGTATATATTAATAATTATATACATTATCCCTGACCGATAGCACGACACGGAGTTTCAGGTACAACGCAGACTTCAGGGGCTGAGTATAGACTGACCGTTACGTAATTTCAATTTTAATAAACTTATCTGTCTATCGCAATGTTAGCACAATTATTTATTATACTGGGATTACAGTTTTTTTTTAATTTTAAAGAAATATATTAGCAACATCGATAAATCTATATCTTAACATAACAATATTATATTAAGCAAATACATTCCGACGTAGACAAGAGAGTTAATCTTTTAAGAAATAAATGTATTTGCGTTTTCTTTCTTTTTGTTGATTTTGTTGTAACTTTTCTATCTATCTATCTATCTATCTATCTATCTATCTATCTATCTATCTATCTCTCTCTATATATATATATATATATTCTGTTCATTGTCCTTTGAATCATCTATGTTTGCTCATGTTGAATCATCTCTCTCTCTCTCTCTCTCTCTCTCTCTCTCTCTCTCTCTCTCAATCTATCTATCTATCTATCTCAGTTTGTAAGTATCGAAATTATCTATCTATCACATTCTTTTCATATGTATCATTCGAACGAGCCATTTTGGTTTGTTCATGTCTGTCTCAGTATCTATCTATCTATCTATCTATCTATCTATCTATCTATCTATCTATTTCACTTTGTACGTATCGAGAGTATATAGGGGCAATTTTTTTTCACCCACTTGCTGAACAAGTCGAAAACATTGACAAACAATAACCAGGACATACACACACATACACACACACGCACTCATTTGCACTGCCACACCGCCTTATGTTTCCAAATGCACACATATACACATAAACAAATGCATACACATAAACCCATGTTGACAAACGAAGACACATGCATGCATTTCATCAAAATGGCGACTTCGAGACAATCCGAAAGAACATAGCCAGCAACATGTGTGTTGGCCGCTCGTCATCGTCGCCTTTATTTCTTTATCAAGAGCAACAAAATAACGCTTTCTTGCCGTTGTTTGTAACTCTGCGAGATGCTGCAGAGCTCAACTTACATGCAAATATAACGGGTATCAGTTTTCGCGATCGCTGGCAGCCAACAAATGCGTCGGATAACAACGGGTTCGGGTGGCCGTGGAGATAAAGACGCGAACAGGAAGAAGGGGGTGGGCGAGGAATAATAAAGAACGTTAAGGTGGATGGTGAAAGGAATGAGAGGGTGTGTTGATAGAAAAGTTATTGTAGGTGGGTGCCCAACCCGGGTGGGGTATCGTATTAACTAAAGAAAAAAAATCTCGAATCGAGTGGTGGGTGTAACATATGATGATAAGGAGGATAGGAATACACACACACACACACACACACACACACACACATATATATATATATATATATATATATATATATATATATATATATATATATATTATATATATATATATATATATATATATATATATATATATATATATATATATATATATATACAGAGAGCGAGAGAGAGAGAGAGAGAGAGGTTGCAACTGAGGCGGTATATTGGTATTTGCTAACTTCCCAGATTTTACAAGAATACAGATCAGAGGACAATGATTAGTAAGGAGTGTAGTAAGTCACCCTTTAAAGTATTCTTGAGGAAAATTAAATGAAATGTAAGCTACTCCAAAAGAAAATATGCGTATGAATATATATATATATATATATATATATATATATATATATATATATATATATATATATATATATATTATGAAATGGACAAATCTGACAATTATTTTAAGACATTTTTATGCTTATACATTCTTTTTTTTATAGACACAAATATTTAAGTAATTTTATAAATATCAGTATTTATAATATTCAATTTTCTATGAAAATTTTCTCCACATTCAGGCCGGTAAATGTTGTTTAATACTGTTTATTATAAACAGAACATTTAATACTCTTTATTATAAACAGAACATTTACTTAAATATTTGTATCGCTAAAAAGAATGTATACACATAAAAAATGTCTTGAAATAATTGTCGGACTTTGTCGATTTCATAATATGTGACGTCATTTGTTTACATTTGGATACGCATCGAGCAGATATGAATGTACGTGAGAAAATCAAGGAAAATTGTAGTTTAAAAACAGTAAAATCGACCTTGCTAACCGAACGCTCCTCTGTGGCGAAATCGGTAAATGCACGTCAGGCTATATGACGTTTCCTTATCAGAGGACGCATATTTTCTATTAAAATTTCTCGGACATTCAGGCCGGTAAATATTGTTAATACTGTTTATTATAAACAGAACATTTACTAAAATATTCGTACCTAGAAAAAAGAATGTATAAACATAAAAATGTCTTCATATATATATATATATATATATATATATATATATATATATATGTAGTTGTGCATTTCAGCATCAATCGCCCTTCTATACTAGATTCATTAAAAACGACTGAATAGAAAATGCAGTTGAGGTTTTTTAATTAATTTTTCTTGTGTTCGTATAGTTCATAAAGTCCTGGTGCTATACAGAAATATTCATCCGAACAATTACCATGAAAAACCACACGCATGCAATTTTACAGCGTTAGGGAAATGACTGAAGCCGAAATGCCAGATCAGGACCGATAATATTGCTGATTCTTCTTCGGATTTTATCAAGAATCTCTAAATATGTAGCAGAAGCCCCGGACCATATGTTCCAGCAATATTCAAAGCATGGGCGAATAGTAGACGTATAGATATGTAATATAGATTCTGGAGAGAAAAATCGTCTCGTACAGTGAACTAGCTTTCTTAGCAGGTGACATAGCAATGGATTCAGTATAGTTCGGGAGGTTAGCATCAGCCAATCTGAGAATGTGTTCTCTCAGATATACCTCCTACATATATATATATATATATATATATATATATATATATATATATATATATATATATATATATACATATTGAATCCTCATAATATAAAATATTAAAACTTATTCATAGAGAGAGGTCAATGTACTTATTAACAGATTTTTATTACTTAAACGTTATTTAGTGGGTATTCGTATTTAATTAGACGCTCCGTTAATTTCTTAAACAGTATATTTATACAATTTCGTGTGTTGGCCTGAATATTTGGGAAATATAATTTGTGAAAAATATTCTCTCCCCAGAAGCACTCAAACATACGTTTAGCAATGGGAAAACGTCTTTAGATACGGTGTGCTCTGAAGACGACCAAGCAAAGTTGAATAGTGGCCGAAAGAACATATTTTCTCACAACATATATATCTGCCCTGTTTCATATCCAAAACGATTATCTACTAAAATAACAAAATATATATATATATATATATAATATATATATATATATATATATATATATAATTTATATATATATATATATATATATATATATATATATATATAGAGAGAGAGAGAGAGAGAGAGAGAGATGTTAGACTCTCCCTCGTATTCGACGTATGAGGGTCAAGCAGTTCAGTTCTTAGGAATCGACAGCCCAGAAACCAGCACATATGATTTGATTATAGCGGTGAAGGCTTTGTACAGAACCAACCACACTTTTTGAACGGCCGAATACATAGACCTGGTCCCCAAACGACCCTCCGCAGGTTTTTAATTCAGAGTTGTCCTTTCTCTAGAACAGTTGCCATCCAAGTCTATAGAACCCAATCTGTCCTGCTATTTACTCATAGCTAGAGGGAGAAGATGATGAATAATATCTTTCCCAATGGTATTAGCACGCAAGTGAAGGTAATGTATTCGACTGGAATTCGAACTCGTCTCTCCGATTTCTCAATCCAGTCACTATCCACTACTCCAATATTCGAACCTATATGTATAGGTAAAATCCGTTGGTATATAATGCAAGTGAATCTTAATAATATAAAATATTAAAACTGATCCACAAAGAGAGCTCAATGTATTTATTATAACAGAGCATATATAAATAAATTACATCGAAAGGAATTCAAAATAACCTCATTTGAATGGCCATTTCACTCCGCAAGAAGAAATCTAATTTGCAGAGATTTTCAACACCGATGAATAAAAAAATAACATAAATTGGAAGTGCAAGAAATTTTAAAACAAAGAACAAGTAGAAAAGAGAAAGAAAAAGAGAAAGAAAAAAGAAAAAAAGAGAAAGAAAAAGTAAAGGAATTTAAACACGGGAAATACAAAAAGACAAGAAGAAAGAAGAAATTAAAAGTGGGCACTTATATTTTAAAATCTCTATCTAGCAAAAAACGAAATACAAATAGAAAATTAGAGATAATTTTAATTTAAAAGACCTAAAACATATTATAAAATATTTTATTATATTAATTATATTAAAAAAATATTAAGATACTTTAATATTAAAAAACCTAATTTTGATTTTCAATTAAAATAACTATTATTTTAATTTTATATTAAAATAACTAAAAGAAATAAATTGAAAAAATAAAAATAAAAGATAGGAAAAATAGTAACAAAACATATAAGGAAGAGTAAGAAAAAAAAGAAACATCTAACATTAAGATAAAAGATAGTGCGTATCAACTAATAATTAGTCGAGTTATTAAAAAAATGAAAAATTTTAAATATAAATTACAAAAAAACAAACCGATTACTAAATAATTTTGAAGCAATATTACGAGAAATAAAATAAAATTATTAAATATATTCTTAAAAGAATAAGCCATTCAAAAATACATGGTGTTATAGAATTTTTTTTTTTTTTTTTGAAGGGGAAAATGTTGTAAACATTCACAAGCAGGGAATGTTTATGGAATGGTTGCATTTTCTGTATTCCTGATGGATTATTAGAATTCACGAGTATTCAAAAGCGAAAGGACGAACTAACGGCTCTGTATTGGCAGGTTAACTGCTGTTGACAATAGAG